TTGTTGGTCTTTTTTTTATAGTAGACACACGCAATTCTGGTTCTTGTGATACCACTTGTTTAGTGATGACTTGTTCACTTGTACCCGGTTCATTGATAGTTTGACCTTCTCCATATCTGGGATACTATTTTGTTGTTCTTGATTGCAATGCAACCTCAGAAAAGTGATAGGAACAACAATAGCTGGAGAAGAACTTGATGTGGGAATTTCATTTCATCTTTCATGAATATCCACCTTGTGTGGTTCTGCGCTCCCACTCTCTTGGCCATTCTCAATGAACCGAGAATTTCCAGACTTATCTCTTCGCATACTAAGGTTGAAAAAATAAAATCTATAACCTTTATATTTTTCAGGATATCCAATAAAGAAATCACTTATGGTTTCTTAATCAAGTTTCTTTTCATGTGGATTGTATACACTTATTTATGCTATGCATGCTATGCAGTCCCAAACATAAAGATGCCTTAAGCTAGGCTTTCTTCTAGGCCATAATTCAAAAGGAGTTTTGGGCACTAATTTACTAGGGATTCTATTGTGCAGATACACAACAGTCCTTAATGCATGTGTCCATAAAGATAAAGGTACAGTATTATTACTTAGCATACTCTTGATCATTTCCATTATTGTACGTTTTCGTCTTGCTGCTACACCATTTTGTTGAGATATACCAGACATTTTGTATTGTGTCCATATGCCTCAACTTTGAAGGAACTTTGCAAATGGGCATAGATTTTGTCCATTTTCATTAAACCTACCATAAAATTCACATTCTTATCCGATCTCACAATCTTGATCTTTGTATCTAATGGTCTCTCAACCTCATTTATGAATGTTTCTAAGACACTCGTACATTGAAATTTATCATGCAATAAATATAAATAACAATATTGAGTGAAATCATCTATGAAGGTGATAAAATACCTTTCACTGCTCCACGAACGAATATCGAAAAGACCAAAAAATATCAGTGTGTATTAACTCAAAGAGTTCATTGCTTCTCTTGGCTGGTCTTTTTAATATATGCTTTGTTTGTTTTCCTTTAATACAATCAACAGATACATCACAATCAGAAAAATCTAAGTGATGTAAAATTTTATTCTTTACTAACCTCATAACTCTTTTATTGGATACATGACCTAGTATTTGATGCCATAGAAGAGCAGAATGTTCACTATATGCACTATGTTTATTTCCAATATTGTGTTCAACATTAAAAAAAGATTTTGAAAAAGTAGAATTAAGATTGAAACAATATAAACTATCTATTAAAGTACAAGAACCATAATAGTACATATGTTCATACAGTGAAAATACATTACTTCCAATGTTTAGATTATATCCTACATCATCCAACCTACTAACATAAATCAAATTTCTAGCACATTCAGAAATGTAAACGCACTCTTCAAAATACAAATGACAACTAGTGTCTAAGATCAATCTGTACGTCTCAATTCTTTCTATTCGCGTTTTCATTCAGTTTCCTATATACATAAACTTTTCAATTTTTTATGGTTCGGATCGAAAGAAATCCGTATAAAATGCCTGATACATGAGTTGTAGCACCAGAATCTAACTACCAAGTGTTTTTAGGTACTTCAGGTTCTTTATCTCCCTTCCTTCTGAATAAGAATGACCTTAATTTTTTGTAGGTTCCATTTTTCCTTAAGAGTGTTATAGTTCGCTTGGAAATGACCAAACTCTTCTAGAAGTGAGTTGATGATGAATTGAACCAGTAACGATTCATTCACATCTATTCCCATTGAATTTTAATGTTTTAATTACTAGATATTCTTAATATTGAATCTCTGTCCAATTACCGATTCAGTATTTTTATGATGGTTTGACTTCCATCGATCGAAAGATAATAGACCTAGTAAGTGAAGGACCAACAAAACTCATAGATAGACGTGAGACTTACTGAATAATATGATAACAAATTCACAGCAATTCAGTCCAAGAAAGGTGGTAGTAGTTAAGGAAGCAAACGAGGTAAGTTTCTATATAACAAAAATTGATTGAACTAACTTCATTTGTTAAAAAATTGATTGTAGGTAACACACAAGTTAAGGTTTGTGGAATCTGCACAAGTTTAGAACATCTTACCGATGTTTGTCCTATCTCGACTCAAAAAGTATATGTCAATGTTGCAGGATTTATTCCAATAGCATATAGTTTCTACTCGAACACTTACATGGAGAAACCACCTCAACTTCAAGTATGAAAACAACAAGCCACTTTTGGAGATCATTTGAGAGCATTTCAAGCACCTAACCACCCTCCACAATCATCTCAAACAGTTCCAAATAATTCTTTAGAAGATATGATGAAAACTATATCAACTAACATGTTGCAATTTCAACACGAAACTAGGAGCAACATAAGGAGTTTGGATGAACAAATGTCTCAAATGATGAATGAGGTGCGTGAGATGGAGCCAAGAGAAAAAAAAAAAAAAAAAAAAAAAAGTACCCTCACAACCCGAGTCAATCTGAAGAATGTGAACTAGATTGTTATACAAAGTGATAAAAATTTGGAAGAATCAAAAGTTGGAGTTTCAAAGGACCATAATGAGGATAACATTGGGAAAGAAATAGAGAAAAACGCCAATTAAAAATTGGACAAGGTAACACTCGAAATACATATTCCATCTCAAACTAATGTTGCACCATCTTCTTGTATGTTGACAAAACCAAACAAAAATGGCAAAAATAAGGAGATGATGAAGATGTTTCAAAAAGTGGAATTGAGCATACCCCGCTTGATGCGATCAAGTAAGTGTCGAAATATACAAAAATTTTTAAAGATCTATGTGAGAACAATAAGAGACTACGAGGAGATGAATGAATAATTGTTGAAGAGAGTATTTTTCGTTTTACAACGTAAATTTCTTCTTAAAATACGGTGATCTAGGTATATTTTCAGTTCCTTGTAAAATAGGTAAGTTGATATTTAAACAAGCAATACTTTATTTACAAGCCGCAATTCATGTGATGCCCAAATCTATTTATAAGTCTTTGAATATTGAGTCTTGAAAGGAAAACTAGAATTATTATACAATCAGTCGATATGACAAATACTTATTTTGAAGGAATGATTGAAGATGTTCTATTGCAAGCGAACAAATTAATTTTTTCCAAATTAATTTTTATGTGTTTGATATGCATAATGATAACTGTCCAAACTCTTCACCGATTTTATTTGGTAGACCATTCATGTGCATTGTACGCACCATGATTGATGTGAAATAAGATATATTTACTATGAAATTTGATGGTGAAAAAATCCAATTTAATATTTTTGATGCTATTAATACCCTACCGAATCTAATGCATTGCATAGTGTGAATGTTATTAACAAATATATGCAGGAAGTCTTCGGATTGTACGATAAATCAATTCTACATATAAAATCGAAGCCTCCATCGAATCAATTGAAGCTTGTTCATTTAAATGATGATATTAATCTTGTAAATATATATACTTTTGAAAATCATTGTTTTAAACATAAAAATAAAAAATACAAATTGAGGTGGGCAAAGCTATTTGTTCTGCCAAATGGCTAACATAGTAATTAAGTCTAGCCGAAAACGTTAAAGAAATGCTTCATGGATGACAACACATATTTTTTAACTTTATTTTTATTATTTTTTAATTTTTGTTTTATTTTTAATTATATTGTATTCTTTATTTGAATCTTTCTTTTTATAGGGAACTCCTTGAAAAATTTTAAAAAATGAAATAAAGTAAGCACCGAATGCGTAGGTATGATCATATACCATAAAATTAGTAGAGGATCCACCTTAAATGTGGTAACATAGGCTTTTCAAATAAAAAAAAATATAACAATATAGTAACCTCAAATGTGGTCATATGAGTTTTTCTAGTGAAAAAACACATGAAGATAATTATTTAAGTGTGGTCACCAATCCAAGAGTAGGACATATTTGTCATTTTATAAAAAATAATTCCAATTAAAAAAAGAAAAGAAAAGATAAACCTAAATTTCCAAAATAATTCCAATACTTCAAGTGTTTGGTACAAAAATGGAGATAAAGAAATGAAAATATTCTATTTTCTCTTATTTGGTTGAGATAAAAAATTACAAATAAGTTATTTGCTACTCTCTAATTTCTTTTCAATCATATATGTGGAAAAATCGAGAAAAGTAAAATTGAGATAGTATTGTGTGTTTATTTATTTTATTTTTTATATTTAATTTTTACAATTTAATTTATATTTATTTGCTATTTTTTATTTTTTCTTATTAATTAATTTTTATGATTTTTGTATTATTCAAATTTTATAAAATATAATATCTAAATTATTACTACCTTCATCCGATTTTAATGTTTTTATTTATTTTTTTTGTGTTGATATTTGAATATTAATTATTATATGAAAATATAATACAAACTAAGAGAAAAAGTGACAAAAATACTTCTATTAATACCTTGTAATACTATGATATTTGTGCAAATAATTATATAAATATATATAGATATTTTTAATTTTAAATATAATGACACAAAATATAAATTGAACACGGACAATGAATTAAAATAAATTATCAAACTAAAAAGATAACTATAAAATACAATAATATTTATTTGATTCAATTTATCATTTTTTAGTGATCAATTTTTTAATTTTTTTTTCTACTACTTTTAACCGTATTCTAGTTATATAACCGTATTCTTGCTATGTATATTTTTTTCTTATAAAGTGTGTTTGTTTGAAAGATTTTAGAAGATTTGTATTATACATTAAAATTTTTTTTAAAAAAAATATCAAATTAAATATATATTTTTTATTTTTATATTATATTAAAAATTAATTTTATTTTAAAAAATATTACACAAATTCTTATTTATATAACATCGTATAACTTTCAATTTAAATATTTTACTATTGAAATCTTAATCCAAAATCCAAACCCCAAACAAATAAAGAAGTTATTTTCTTTAAATTTAAATTCCATTGACTTTACCACACCACGCTAATTTCAAACACCCTCTCCCCATTCAAACCCGTCCCAATCGACCACCAGACACATCTCCCCCTCGATCGCCTCCGCTCACGCCTCCGACGCCCGCTGCCCAGGCCGCCGCCCGCCGTCGCACCCATTCGTGCCGGCAGAGCCGAGCCCATCCAGTCCGCCGCTTCGCCCGACCTCAGCGCAGCCTCTCCTTCTTCTTCTTCATCCTCCGTTCCTCTGCCGTGCCGCCGCGTCGTCACCGTCAACCCAGCGTCCGACCAGGCGCACCAGACCAGTACGCGTTGCCCTGGTTCCGTCGTCAAGCCTCTCTTCTCTTTCCCGCCGGCCGAGCCCTGAAGAGCAGCTCCTCCTGTTCGGTAATATCTCTCCACCCCTCTAATGCTTTCTATTTCAATTTAGGGATACTTTTTCATTGGGTTAGTAGATTGGATATTCTGGAATGCAAATTGAAATCGATTGTTTACTTCAGTTGTTGGGATAACGTATCTTGGCTCATTGAATTGATATTCTAGAGAAAGTGAATTCGAATTTGTTGCACTCCGGTGCGTAGGAATTTTGAGTTGATCTTCCTTGCATCAATTTTGATATCTTGATTTGGTCTGACATGCTTGAATTGAAAATCGAACTCTCTTTGTTGAATCTTGATTATCTCTTTGCTGCAATAAATTGGTTGTTATTCACTCCATTGCCTCTGCATTATGTGAAATCTTTTTCATATCTTTGGTGTGATTGACACTTCTATTGAATTATTGATTGTGATTTGAGAAGCACTTGATTAGCTTAGATCATATGTTACTTTTTTCTTGGTATACTTTGTTGCGCTTGGTTAGTTCATTTTGCAACATTAATGGGAAATTTCAAGTTTTGTCTTAATTTGGTGCACAATCTAATCGAAGGAAGTTGGCGAGCCATAGAGAAAACATGTAGCCGCACCACCCCTATGGTTTCCAAAAATTTAAATTATTTTTAGAGAGTATATGTATATTTAGAATAACTATTGAATAATAGGCACCAAATGTAGTCGTGAATTACACACCTTGAATAGTAGGCACAAATGTAGTTGTGATGATCTTATAATTTAATTGAGGATCGACAAAATGTATTACAAATATAACATGAAGTTTTACCTACGTCTATTTTGTTTAAGAAGGCACGTTTATCTTTTGTGTAAGAAGGTGCGTTGTCTTTCTACATCTTAATCGAGCTTATTTTTTAATACCTCTGTTCGTATTTATCTATATGTATAATGAACATTAGATTTTGTGTACACACATTTACAAAAATATACAAAAAATTAAATAATATTACTGTACACACAAAAAAATACAAATCTAATAAAACAGTAGAAAAGATATTGGAAAGAAAATGTACTATAATAGCAGATGTATGTAACCTTAAACTGAAATTCGAAAGAAAAGAAATCGAAAGATTTACATTTCAAAATTATTAAAATATCATTACCCTTAGTTACGCATATAATTACTATTAATTAGATATATAATAAAAATTTACATTCCAAAATTATCAAAAATTTATTACCCTTAATAGAAATATTATCACTATTAAGTACAAATATAATAAAAATTTTAAATTAAAAATTTATTAAAATTAAATTACCCTTGCTTACTGATATAAAAATGGATCATTTGATCAGGAAAGATAGAAAGAAAGGGAAATGGAAACAAAAATTGGGGAACAAGAACAGGAGATTGAGAAAGAATTATGCAATGGGGTCTTGTCTCTGTTGGTCCCTCCACTGCCACCACCACCACCGCCGCCACCACCATCACCACCAACCCCACCGCCACCTTGGATTGAGTTGCCAGACGATGTGACGATCAATATCCTGCAAAGGCTGGATGTTGTAGAGATCTTGGAAAGTGCACAGAGAGTGTGCACAAGCTGGTGGAGAATCTGCAAACATCCTTCCATGTGGACAGTAATCGATATGGAAGATTACTGGCCTTACAACAATTCTGAAATCGCCTGCCGCGAAGCTGTTGGCCGTAGTCAGGGACAGTTAATCGACATTAGCATCGAGTTTTTTGGAACCCCTGAGTTGATTTGCTACATTTCAGAAAGGTACTCTTTTATTTACATATGTTGGATAATGGAACTAGAGGTGAGCAAAATTTTGAAATCTGAAAATTAGATCCGAATCAAATTGAAATTTATAATTTGGTTTCGATTTTTTGAATTTTCGGATTGTTTCGGATAGATATACTAAAAATTCAAACCTATTCGAAATCCGAAATATAATATTTTAAGATATTTTATTATTATACATATATATTTAATATTTTCTTATAAATAATATATTTTAATAAAAAAAAATTAAAATTATTAATTATGTTTTAATATACTTAATTTTTGTATTTTATATGTCTTTAATGTATTATAAAAAAAAATACTCCATTTGTTCTTTATCTATGTATCAGTTTATTTTTTGCACGAAGTTTTAGGAATATTAGTATTATATTGGGGTGTGGTATGAATAAAGTAGAAAAGACTAAAAAACTTTATTAGTATTGTGTAATACAAAGGTAATGACATTTGTGTATTATATTTTAAGTTGTAAAGGTATTATTAATGTTAGTAGAAAGTATAGTTAGATAATATAAAAATATAAAATAAAATTTAAAAAGATAATAAAAAAAATAAGTATTTCAGATTTTTTGGTTTGATTCGGATTTTTTAATTCGAATTTTGATTATTTCAATTCAGTTCGGATTAAACTTTATTATTTTTAATAGTGTGTTGTCAAAATTAACAAAACAGGTGCAGTCAACTTAAACGCCTCAAGCTCTTGAATTGGTCTTATAAGCTGACCCCTTGTTTGCAAGGAGCATTTCGAAAATTTTCTGCACTAGAAGAACTGTATCTTCTCTGTAATGGTAATTCCCCGGAGGATATCGAATTCATCGGCACATCTTGCTGTAAGTTAAAGTCCTTCGCACGGAGCACTCCCTTTAAACCATTATTTTATGGACAGGATGCAAAAGATTCATATGCTCTCGCCGTTGCCAAAAGCATGCCAAACTTGCAGAACTTGTGGCTTTTTGAAGACCATATGACGAATAAGGGACTGATTGCAATTCTTGAGGGTTGTTCGCGCCTCCAATATCTAAGCATATGGCATCGTTTCGATATTGATATAAAAGGGTGTTTAGGCAAGCGATCTTTTCAGAAGCTTAAAGCCGTGCAATGCCCTCATGGTTCGAAAAATTGTTTCAAACGGTCTTGTTCGATGCTCAACCGTCGCGTAGAGGCATTCAGACTCGCACCTGCTTAATATCGACTCTCATACATTTTGTTAGATATCCTAGCTTGGGGGATGGTTAGGGTGCTGCATGCTATTTTTCAACTCAACACATGTTATATGTACAAACAGCACACAATATTATTACATACAGAAAAAGTTGTCTATAATAAAAGTATGTGTTGTTTTTTTATAATAACAAATGTGTTGTATAAGGGTAGGTCATGTGCTAAAATCAACTGTTGTGTGTTTTGTAAGAAACTATAACATGTGTTGTTAATTCATGTGTTGTATTTGTAATATATTAACATATACAATGTATTGTTTGTAATAATACTGTGTGCTGTCAGACAACACACGATGTGCTGTTGAGACTATAATATGTGTTTTTTGTTTATGTGATTTATTTGTATTATTGTTGATATAATTTTTCAACAAAAATAAAGTAAAATTCAAAGATATAGAAAATATCCTTAAACTTGATTAATTAGTGCCTGAGATTAGGAATCTCTAAACACTGTAACGTACAGAAAATAAACTGGAAAATAAAAGACTGAAATTTAAAGTGGTGATCCCCAAATCTGACTTTGCTTTGTTGAAGTTGATTGAAGATGCCTTGCCAAATGATGATCCAAATCCTTAAATATTCCCTGGGAAACCGTACTGAAAACCGTCACCCGAACGGTTACAACGTCTCCTTCTCAACCGTCTTCCAACCTTTCTCATGCTGACACGTGTCCCCAGCAGACCAAAATTCCCTATATTTCACTCCTTGAGCCGACCACAGACCTTCCGCTCTTTTGGCCCGACTTCGTCCTTCGTCCGACCTACTTCTTCGCCCGACCCCACTTGGGCCGACCTCCATATCAACCGCCCCCTGTCTTTGATCAAAGGCCTCCGCGTTTGTCCGACTCCTCCTTCTATCCGACCTACAGTTTACCCGACCTGCGGATATCCCATCTCGACGACTTTCCGTCTCGAGGACCTCCCGACTTGAAAACCTTCCGACTCATCGTCTTTACGTCTTGCGGACCTCCCGACCTGAAGACCTTCCGACTTGAGGTCTTTCCGTCTTGCGGACCTCCCGACCTGAAGACCTTCCGACTTGAGGTCTTTCCATCTTGCGGACCTCCCGACCTGAAGACCTTCCGACTTGAGGTCTTTCCGTCTTGCGGACCTCCCGACCTGAAGACCTTCCGACTTGAGGTCTTTCCGTCTTGCGGACCTTCCGACCTGAAGACCTTCCGACTTGAGGTCTTTCCATCTTGAGGGCCTCCCGACCTGAAGACCTTCCGACCTGAGGTCTTTCCGTCCTGAGGACCTACCGACCTAAGAACCTTCCATCCTGAGGTCTTTCCGTCCTGAGGACCTACCGACCTAAGAACCTTCCGTCCTGAGGTCTTTCCGTCCTGAGGACCTACCGACTTGAAAACCTTCCGACCTGTATTTTCCTTAGAAATAAATAAATAAATTTATTTTCCTTGATTTCCTCACGGTGTCCTTCAGCCAGTTCAATCAACCCTATTGCCAGGCCCATTCTTCTTTTTACCTTGGGCTTTTAACCTAATTCTAAATTTCGTACGTAACAACTTGCCCGCCGCCAAGGGACTTTCAAACGCCATTTAACAATCAATGTTTGGAAGTTCATAAAGCACTACCTCCTTAGCAACTACACCAGTTACTGCAACACTCCTGGTTAACTTCCTTCTTCGCAATACAAGCCTGTGTGAATCACAATCCCAAAACATTCTAACTATGGCGAATCAATACATTCCTGCCCTCCCTTTCGACGGAACCCTTCCAGAAGGTCCATTTTCAGCCTCGAAAGTACTAACTCCGACGATCCGTCCATATTGCACTACTCCTGAAGATTCAAATCGGATGAGGGAAGTTTTGGAATCTCGCAACTCCTTGGCTATCAACAATCCCAACTACCAAGCAGTTCGCATCCGAGACAGCATCAAGACCCATCTCACAGACCCAAAAGATCTGTATCGTGCTTGGTATCGACGAGTAGCAGAACACTTCCAGACCCAATGGCGATCCCAAAAGATCGACCAACCAATACTACTGTCCACCATGCCTATCAACCTGCATGAGAAGGTGCTGTTGGCCATGTCCGCCTTCTGGAATGCGGAAAATGGGACTTTCCTTTTGCCATCGGCCCCCTTTGGCCCAACTCTTATGGACGTGGCCATGATCGCACATCTCCCAGTCGTGGGTGAAGACCCTGTAATGGGAGCCCTAGATGGGCAGGAGCCATCAGAAGACCATCCGGGATGGTCTTTACAAGGTGTGAAGGAATGGGGTTGGACAAAGTTCGCAACCGACCAGCAAGGGGCTCCAGGGACTCCTGTCAGCCGAAACCCCCCAGCCCGACTTCGATCAAACAGCGCTGGAGAATTCTTTGGCTAAGACCCGAGAATCCCTCCAGCAGACTACTGGAAGGCTGGGTGGTCTCCTTAACACGAAAGCTCAAGTTGATGAAGCTATTCAGAAAAAGGAGGCAGAATTGCGGGAGCTGAGGAAAGAACAGTCTACCCTGGATAAGCAAATTATCAATGAGCAGCGTCTGATTGAGCAGTACACCAAGAATGAAGCTGAATTGGATCAAGAGCTGAAAACCCAAGCCCGATCCCAATTCATCATAAGATATCAGACGGCTGCCAATACCAGAAGGCTATCCAGGGATGAAATCAAACATGCCCATAATCCCATTCCAACCGAACCAGCCTTCTCTGAAAGGTTGGAGGGACAGACTCATAATCCCATCCCAGCCGAACCAGCCTTCTCTGAAAGGTTGGAGGGACAGACTCATAATCCCATCCCAGCCGAACCAGCCTTCTCCAGAGAAGAAAGATTGGGAGGTCAGACTCACGATCACATTCCAGTGTTCGACCATATTCCACCCAGAGTAGATCCGGAGGATATTGCTCAAGTTCTGCGGGTGCATTTCGGAATGAATCCGCAAACGGTGGACACATCCAGGGATGGACCCATATAAAAACTGCCCTAGGGGCACTGTTGTAATACTTCCCCCTTTGTAACAACAATTGACTTAGTAATCCATTTTTTCTTTCTTCTCTCAAAACAAGGATCACCTTTCAATTCCCAACTTTATAGGAAACGAAACAAACTCCTTCTTTAAAAGAACACTGTTTCTCACATTTTAAGAAACACATTCTAAGGCATATTCGAAAAATCAAAACACCTGACGTATTAACAAACATGGCGAGTGACCGACCTCATGTTCCATCAAGCAACTGGGAAGGTGTTCTCCAACCCTTCTTTGTGGGTAATCACCCTATTGGAGGCCATGCAGAAGACTTGTTATATATACTCAAGCAACTAGACTTCAAATTCCGATTCTCCCAACGAGGTAGAAGAACTATTCATCGCGTCATCCGCCTAATGGAAAAAATCATTGAGGGATATGAACCTCTTCGTGACATCCTCAGCCGCATTCCTGATCTCCATCATCACATGGAAATGATTGAAAATCATGCAGCAACCATACTTCCAGACCTTGGTTGGGATAACATATTTTCCAATCAACGAAAAGTCTTTTCAAGATTGCGTACCATTGTTGACCATGAACATCAAGCCCTAACAGACATGCAAGCACGTACCCATCAAGATCTAGATGACATGCAAAGCCAATGGGAAAGGTACCGACCAGACTTGGAAGATCTTATTGAAGAAGAACCAGAGCTAATATCCACTCACTGGGATGAAAAGTCTGATTCAGAGACAGAAAATTTCTCACAACTACACGATGACTAACAGAAATGAACCTTTCCGTAGGTTCGAACCCCACAAATGGGTTCTGAATAATATTTTGTTTCAGGCAGTCTTGTTATCTGAAAAGGCAGGATAATACCTCTTCAGATATTTAGCATTAATACAATCATGTACTCTCCTACCTTCATGATTTACAATAATGAACGCGCCATTTCCAATATCTTTTTGAACAATGTATGGTCCTTCCCAATTCGGTGACCACTTTCCCAATTGATCAGTTTTCTTATATGTAGGAAGAATGGTCTTCCAGACTAGGTCTCCTTTTTGGAATGTCCTGTGAAGAACTTTCTTTCCGTAACTCCTTGCTCTGATTTCACTCTGTTTCACACTTCGATCTATTGCATGGAGACGGTTAACATCCAAATCTTCTAACTGCTGCAACATAAGTTGTTGGTATTCCTTTGTAAGATCACTATCAGTAAATTCTGTTCGGCCAGATGATACTCGAATTTCGGCTGGTAAAACAGCATCTTGGCCAAACGTAAGTTGGTAAGGTGAGAACCCTGTGGCCGTATTTCTGGTATTTCTATGTGCCCATAAAGCCTGAGACAATAACAAATGCCACTTTCTTGGGTTCCCTTCAATCATCTTCTTTATAATCCCAATGATAATCTTATTTGCTGCTTCCGCCTGTCCATTGGCTTGGGGATAATAAGGTGAAGAATGATGTAACCGAACACCGAATTCTGCCAAGAAATTAGAGAACTTTTCCCCTGTAAAGACCAAGCCTTGGTCGGTTGTTATAGACTGAGGAATACCATATCTGTAAATAATTTGGTTCAAAACGAAGTCTATCACTTCTTTCTGATCCACATTTTTCAAAGCAACTGCTTCTACCCATTTGGTAAAGTAATCAGTCGCGACCAATATGAAACAATGATGTTTCGATGAAGCAGGATGTATCTTACCAATAATATCCATAGCCCATGATTTAAAAGGCCATGGTTTTGCCAAAAATTGCAATTCGGTTACTGGCAAATGGTTTAAGTTTCCATGTCTTTGACATTCCTGACAGCCCTTGGCAAATTGTATGCAATCTTCAAAAATCTTTGGCCAGAAAAACCCCAAACGATGAATGGCCCATCTCATATTCAGACCTGCTCGATGAGCTCCACATATCCCACCATGTACTTCTGTCATCACTTCTAGAGCTTCTTTAGATCCCAAGCATTTCAAAAGTAAACCTTCAAATGATCTCTTGTACAAAATTCCATTTATCAATTGAAAACGTAAAGCCTTCAATCGTGTCGCAATTGAAACACTCGCACCAGGATTCTGTAAATACAGGATAAGCTCTGTTCTCCAATCGGGCACTGTTTCGCAGTCGGGCTCCTGTCCGACAGTCTCCTGCTCGACCATAACTTCGCAGTCGGGGTCCTGTCCGATAGTCTCATGCCCGACCGTAACTTCGCAGTCGGGGTCATGTCCGATAGTCTCCTGCCCGACCATAACTTCGCAGATCGGGTCTGTCTTTCCTTCTATGCCCGACTTGACCTCCGACCACATATCCTCCAGAATTCCTTTACATGCCCTTTGAGCCAATTCATCAGCACGTTGATTTTCTTTCCTCGGAATGAACTCAATTATTACTTCTGA